TTTTAAAAAGCACTCAAGTACAATTTTTAACTGAATACAATTTTTCTTGATTTTGAATACCATGCAGACAACACAGGGATGCCCTGCAGCCTCACCCATATTAGACAAAATGACAATAAGACATAAAATGATAATAGTCTGGGAGGGTTTTTTAGGAGTTGCAGGTTATTGGCTTGAATTACAAGCATTGACGTAAGACCCAATTTCTCTTTCTACTGAAGCCAAATCTGAATGTTGCACTGGCTTCAAAGGGAATGGGCTTCATCCTGCCTTGAACACATTCCGATCACTGACAAATTCCACACTGGTATTTTAATGCAAGCAGAAAAAAACCCCTCTTTTCTTGAGGCATGTGATTCACATTGATAAAGTCAGTACAGAAGACTCATGTGTGATTTCATATGGCAATTTACACTGCCACGATGAAATGCTTTGCATAGATGAGAAAAGATGAATTGATGAAATCTGGAAGAGACTGTGACAGCCTCTTGTGCTTCCAGATAAGTTTGTTCCTTACGCACACAATTAAGAAAACAGTATTGCTACTGCACCATATCTGCAATATATTACAAAATGTATGTGCAATCAAGTGAGTAAGAAATAAGAGGCTGTTCTTCCTGCCCAGGGTTAGGATCTGTTTTTGGAGTACACCAAAATTTCACTGGATTTTGGAAAAGACCCTAAGCATAATTACTGACTTCTTTATTCTTAAAACCTCAGCCAACTCCAGAATTTCCCAGGGAACTTGGCCCTTAGGGATTGCCAAATTATTCTGTTCCCTTCTTCACACATTTGTAAAAGCTCCAAATTTCTCTGCATGCTCAAATGTAAGCAAGACTGGGGAAAAGGCGCACTCCAGAGCTCTCCACGTTCACCACCCAAGCTTGTGCTCTCTACAATCAGAGCTTTGCTGACAAGTCACCCAGCCTCAGGTGATTAAAAAATGACAGATTCCCTCTCACTCCATGGCTCAGTGTTTTATCCACCTCAGTTTCCTTCACATGCTTGCTCCCTGCTCCTTGCTGCCAGGGAAAGAAGAACATGGGCAATACACCCACATATCTGCGTCACCACCTGTGCTTTTGCCTTCAAGGTCTGAGCAACATTTCTACTGATTCACCAAACCCCCACCAGAGTGGACGATTCTTAGAGTTTACTTCTTCCATGTATTACATCTGGCTATCCTGAGTTAACATCACCTTTAATTTATCATCAGTCGAGCCTACATGGGGGCAGATTTTTGGGGGACTGGAAGAGCTACCCCTGCTCGCTGCAAGCTGTGAGGCTTCATCTTTCATCTCTGTAAGGTTATTCCTCAGCACTAAAGGCTCTGGGTCAGGGTTGTGGTTGCAATCTCCTATGTTCCCTTCACATCGCTTTTCCAGGCAACCACAGACCTACTCACCATGGTGCCTTTCCTCAAGATTGCATCAGGAGGAACTGCTGTGGTATGGCTCTCCCTTTGCAATTCATGAGCTGGCTTTGACAACCCCACTGCAATCACAGAAAATATGTTAAAATATTATGATGGCCCTACTGCCATTTAATCCATTTTTGCTGGAAAACAGCAGAGTTGGATTTCATAAATCAAAATCAAATCTTGTAATAAATCAAATACTGGCCTTTAATGAAAGTGCTGGCAGATTCACAAGCCTCCTCTGTTGACCTGACAGTGAAGTCAAAGCAATCCTAGTTATGTTTTTTCAGCTGAATTTGAATTTGCCAGTGAATGCAGCTCTCAGGAGCTTCTTAAGAGATTCTCCTAAATAATATGAGGAATTGGGGATTAATCCATAATGTTATAATTTTCTCTCTCCCTGTCTCAGATTTCATATCCTCAGCAACAAAGCTGGGATTGCAGCTTGAGCCCAGGATGTGGCACCAGACAGCTGATAGCCTTTCTTCTTGGACCGATCAGGTTTTTGTAGGGGGGATTTCTCTGGGGCCTGAAGCTTCTTCTGTGGGAAAGTACAATGTACTATGCATGTCCTTTACTTGCAGCAAGCATACCTGAAAGTCATTTCTTATCACTCAGATATCATTTAAAGGTTAAGACTGGACATTTGAAGCTTTGACTGCATGGAAGAAGGAAAAACAAAATAGCCTCAAACTCAGACAAATTATTGATGTCAAAAGAGTATTTTCTTACAATTAGCACACAAAAGAATGATGGCAGAAAACAAGGAGGGTCCTTCTTTCTGCAAAAGCCCTTCTGCATATGGCATTTCTGACAAATGCTATAATTTTGCAAACATTTTTTGAGCAACACCTGAAAAATGAATCAGAAAATAAACATGTGGCAACATGCATTACATCTCAAGGACTATTTTATATATATATTTCTTTAATTATCTTTCTGGCTTGCAAATCACTCCTTATATCTAACTATACACCTATGTACACCTTCACAGACATGTCTGGGCCTGTTTCTGCAGTCCCAACACAAATAAAATTCCCACACATTTCAATGGGAGCTCTTTTCAGATAAATGTGGCAAGATTGGGCCTTTGGTGCATATGTGTGAGTATCCTGCACACACTTTTTAAAATCATTAAAAAAATATAGTAGCTATTGATTTATAAGCAGTCAAAATCTAAACACAGTAAAACTGCACTTATTACAGTGAACTTACATTGCTCATTTATATGAAGCAAACAAAGGAAAGGAAATGTCTGTGACCTTGTATTACAGATTAACTGTAAATACAGTTTTGCTTATCCTTTTGTCTGTCTAAAAGGATTTTTGCAACTAAAGAGAGGGATTTGCACCGTTTCTGTTAACATATGGATGCTTCTCAAGTGCTTTCCCATCTTTTTAGAACTATCTTTTGCAACATATCAGACTCCTTTCAATTGATTTTGTTCACTTCAATCACCATAGTAAAGAAAAACCTCTCACTAAAGAAGGTAATCTTAGCAGAGCAGCAGCAGCAAAGCAATCCTGAAGTCACTACTAGTCCCCTAATTCAGGCAGAATAAGGAGTAAGGGCTCTAGGTACCAGCTTCAGTGTCATTACTGTTACCATAAAGCTTAATGCACAGCAATATGGCCAACCCACAGGGTCACATTGCTCTCTAAATAGCACTTTCATTACAGCACTTCATTGTCAAAGCCCTTTGCACATAAATTTACAAAACACAGCAAAGACAAAGATCTCTTTTGCATATTAAATCAAGGAAACCATTTCACCTACAAGTTAATTAGTGCGCTGCCTATTTCACAGCTAGCTGATACAAGGGGGTGATCACTAAAACACAGTATAACTCTAAAACCAAAACCACAACAACACAAATATATAAAGCTTAAGCACTTGTTCTTCACCTACTCCTGGCTGTTGTTTCCCAGGTGAGTTCTGACACCATTATCAAGGATATTGATTGATTGATTGATTGATTGATTGATTTTAAGGTAGTCATATCTCCAGAGTCTATTGTGGATTTAAGGAATTACACTCACATACCATCCAGGTCACACCTGGTCACTAGGGACTTTTGAAGTGGTGACCACTGTGCTTCACTTCCTTTGTGATCATTTTTCTTGTAGTGTGAGCAAATTTCACAGCTCTCAGCATAGCACAAAGGCTTTTAAAAGATGCTTTGTGCATTCATGCATTACTAAATCAAAACCAAAAAGTCCAGATTTGGGTTTAAACCCTCCCCCTGCAAAAAAAGTAGGTATTCCTCATATAGAATTTTAAGTTCAAATCCTTGATCAAAGATCTTGTAATCTTTGTAAGACAAGACAAGGCACTGGACAACAGCCCAAGTGCTTCAGACTAAGAACTTAGACAGGGAAACTCTTCATTTAACAATGCCAAGACAGCTGAAACAGCACACCTCACCCTCCTGTGTAGGCAGTCATACCAGTAACATACACCAGCTGCCCACTACAACAGAATAAACTTTGGCAACACGTGGCCTCTTTTCTGCATCAGGATTTTGCCAATTTAACTGTAGCAGGTGAAAAACTAAGCTTGGCATAACTGACAGAGCTACACTGGTAACATTTTAAAGAACATACCAGCCCTTTTACTATCCTAATAACATTCTCAACATACAAAAATGCCACTTTAAGACATCTGACATCTAGGGATGTGCAATTTTAAAATAAGCATTATAATCTAAGCCACAAAGTATTTCCTCTGTATTTTAACTTCATTTCCTGACATTACTTATTACAGATACCTGAAAGTATTAACTCAACCTGCACAACAGTGAATCAACATTCAGCTACTCTTACAAAGTCTTTAATAAAAATCAGTGAGGAAATGCCTTTTTCTCTCTTACTTGAACCAAAAAATCAATTTGTAAACTATAACTACATAATCTCCTTGCCATTCAGACTGAGAAAACCTTGCAGAAGCATGAAGGAGCATGTTTCTTCAACAAGGACTTCAATCTGAAGCTGCGATGGTTGCTGTAAGAGGAAGTACACATATTGCTCATGTGTCAGCTAGAAGAAAAGCATCACAGACAAGGAAAAAGAAAACACAATCAGCAGAGGAGAATGGAAATGTAAGACACAAGAAGGAAGAACAAAGAAACTCTAAAACAGTATCACACCATAATCCACACAGTTACCTGTTGCTGTGAATGTGAGTTTAACATTCTTTTCTATTCTAGATGAAAAAATTCATAAAATGATTTTGTTTATTCCTAACACATCTATCTGCTATTTTTGACCAACACTTGGTGACATTACAGAACAAAGATCTCAAGTTATATATCCCCATTACATGATAATGCTAAAGACTATTTTCAAAAACCTAAATGCCAGAGAAGAGTATTTTCAATAAAATCTGGCAATGCCCCAAGGTACTCCATTTAGAAACCTATGTAGAGTTGTACAGTCTATACTAAAATACTCCACCACTGATTTTCCTCAAAAGCTTGGTGCTTTTCTTCATAGTGAAATGATAAATATATTAATGTGCTCTGTTTATCCCTAAATCTATTGGAAATGTGCTTCTTATCTGACCTGCTTTCCAGGGCAGTGTGTACCCCGGGACAGAGGAGTTTTGCTTCTCCTATGCTATTACAGACCCAACTGTGCTAGCAGGAAAGATGCTGGTATCCTAGATCCTATGGGATGCAATGCCTTGAGGAAATTTATATCAAACAATTATTGCATAATCTCAGGGTGTAATAAAACCTCCTACACCATACACAGGCATCAAGGTCCTGTTACACTTTTGTGTCAGAGGAAGCGGTGTCCCTGTCAACTACAGGTCCCCGTATGAACACGCAGGATCCCCTTGCTGTGCATGTGGAGGAAATTGAAGATTTCTGAGGGCATAGCATGAAAACCAGGGCGAGGTTTCACATTGTCATAGTAGTGGTGAGTTATAAAAATCCCTGAGGGGTTCATGGGGAAGGCCCAAAAGCCAAAAAGGTGGACCTCTTCACAGAGCTCCAGGGCAGCAGTCACCAGGATCAGTCCAGTGCTGATCCGCTTGGCCCGCACCCCTTGGCCGAGCCAGTAGCGTGAGACGTTGATGAGATACTGGGGATGAAAGTAATAAACAGCTTGCTGAGATTCAAAATCATCCAGGACATATTTGACCCGGATTGAAACGTCCGTGTTGCGAGTGTTGTAGAAAGCTGGCAGCAGCACGGAAGCATTCTCGTAGACCTGGAGCACATCATAGAAGGGTTTCCTCCACTTTTCCAGCTTATGAAATCTAAAGGGAAAAGGATGCAAGTGATGGTCAGTCTGGACCCAGCAGACAAAAAAACTCCAGTGGGCTTTTACTGAAATATTTCTGATATAGAGATAATTGAAATGATGTTTCAGTTAACAAGGGGAATATATTTACATTTGCACCTACAGCATCAGTATGAAATGTAGGGCAAAAATTCAGGGGATAAAAACATTCATATCCTACTCTCTTTTGGCAATAAATTCATTAAACAGTGGACAAACTTTGTAGTCATTTCTGATCATATCTTGCTTCTCATTTTATTATCAGAAGTATGTCATTTCTCCAAGGTGTGGAGACGTGTATAGGGCACTTCGCAGTGCAGAACTGTGTAAAAAAGTGGTAAACTCCAAGGCAAGCAAATGTCTAAAATATCTAGCTGTAACACTCATAAGAAATGCAAAATCGACAAATGGATTTATGTTGCTTGAATTCCCCCATCAAGAAAGGAAAGCAGTAATAAGCCCTATGGTCCCAAACCTGTCAGGAAGGTAGCATTAGGGTATTAACAAATTTAAAATTAAAATCCCTCAGTCAGTCCTGGCTATGAAGTTTAACTGGCATTTCTTTAAAACATATGAGAGTGTGTATTATTTTATTTATGTGAAGATCTGAAAAGTCTTTTCCAGCCTTAATGATTCTCATTCTGTGATTTAGGCATTTAGTGTGGAATCCAGCTGCTTCCACCCTGAATGTTTCTAAGACATTTGCCTCGCATTTACAGGCATGGCACAAGACTTCTAGGGGAAGGATGGCTCTATTGTTGTAATTTTAGCCCTCGGCTTCCCATTTGCTATCAGCAATGTGCAGGTTTAAGTGTGTAACAGATTTCTCTAAGTTGTTACTGATTCCATATACTGAATAACTTCAATTCAAAATGAAATATATGATTCATAGTGTCAGTTTAAGTAATATTTGGGATAAAATTCTCTGTAACAGTTAGAATTAAGTGAAAGGTAGATTTGGAAAGCAAAAGAGATGAAAATACAAGAAACAGAAATAACCTCTCAGTGATTATACTGGGATTGACTGTCACAACATCCGTCTTTACCCCAACGTCCATGAAGTATTTGTCAGATATAGGAGGTAAATTGCATCTATAAAGGAAAGAAATTCATGAGAAAGTTAAAAAATTCCTTGCACATTTTCAGGAATAGAAAGTAGAATTGATTTAAGCATTTTTTCCAAGCAACAAACCTAGAAACAGATTGCAGATTTAAAATTGTATCAAAACACGTTGATGCCCAAACTGTGCATTAAAGTAAAAAGTTCTTGGGGGCTGCATGAAGACCTCTCTTCTTCCCTGAGTCTGTGAGAGATGAGCCCTTTTTGCAGATGTAGCCAGTGCTCACTTTGCTTTCTTAACATCAGTTTACCTATTTACTTCGGCAGTTTAGGATGAGAAATGTGATGGAGCGCCAAGGCCAATCAGCCTATAAAATCAAAGGCTTCCTCAGCAATAGCCGAGATGCTTTCAATAATTAATAAACTGTATCTATAACATTGCCTTTAATATGCTTTGGTTTATACCCAAGAGAATTTAGGGGAAATGCTACACAAAAGACAAATTTGTCCAGTCCTAATTAATCCAAAACTATCTGCTTCCCTTCCTTTTCCATTTATAAGTATCTCCCAGAGTAGCATAATAAGAGGAATTCTGACTCTACAGGTTCACTCCAGGATACTAAAGCTATTAGGAGCGAACTTGTGAAGATTTGCAAACTTGGACTTTGCCCAGCCTCAACTCACCTTGGCCTTGTCCTAGATACATCATCTCACAAAATTTAGAGCATCCCTCAAGAGATGCTGAAGTTATGGAAACACACACACAAGCTATCCACAGACTTCACTTTCATAGGAAACACAACTGAAAAAACAAGCTTCAGCATGTGTTATCAGAGACAATGTAAGTGGCCTGGCAATTAGTTTTACACTCAGTTTAAGCTACTGTTAGATACTTGCTGGCATTTTGAAAGCTTTTTAAGTGATCTACAAGTCCTAATAAAAGCCATCGCTATTAAAATTCTCATATCTCAAAAATACTTCTGTGCCTAATTCCCAAAGTTCTCAATTTTTCTGAAGGTCAGGGCTGAACAGGAGAAAACTGTGCAGGTATTTAGGGTAAGTGATGCTCGGTGTTTTCACAACACTGCAGTACAGCTGTCAGGATAACTTCTCAGTCAAAGGGACTGAGCAAGTTGGGGATCAGGAGAATGAACAAAAATCCTTCAAGACCCTCTCAGACTCAAGAGGTTCCCATCTACTTTCCAGAGAGTACCACTTTATCAGGCCAGATAATTTTTTTTTAGCTGTCTTTCTCATAGGCAATGTTATTTCCAGCAGTTTTCTCTGCTAGGTCATGCAACATCCTTCTGAAGGAGCATCCCCAGTTCTAACTTGCACTAGGCACTGTGTTTGTTAGATTGTATCTGAAGGTTT